AAACATGATTACACTTGTGGATCTGGCCTACTGAGCCAGATGGCATTTAGCATCACAGGACTAGTCTAGAAATATTCCCTGAGAGAAGCAATCAAGGATTAAAGCATTTTATCCTGCTGCACACACAACTCTTTGGGGAATTGATTATTGTCTTTGGCTTGGAACAACATGAGTGCCAAGAAGACTCTTCGGAAACAAATCTTCCCATGGTTGGTTTGGCAAGCTGTGACAGATGCCATCTGTGGAACAGTAATCATAATCTTGAGCGACTCGAGCAGGAACTGCCAAAAGGCTTACACAAACAGCCAGAACAGAGAAAGCATTTCCAATCCATGAACAGAATTTGTAGATGTGATTCCTTTTATAGATATTTGGCTTGGGATTCTCAGTGACATTTGAACTCTTTTATATGAATATGAGTCCCTGACTTGATATGAAAGAAAGCATTCGAGGGATATGTGTGTTTGTCACGGAAAATGGGATAGGTCGTGTAGTAGATTAACAGGACTCTTAAATCTGAATGGCCTGCTAGTTAGCTGGTGGAGAATTCTCAAATACTTCAAGGACTCTCCTTCTTCTTGCAGAGTTTTGCCTTCGGAAGCAGGTAAAAATCTCTCTGAAAAAAAGAGATTTCATGCAGTGGAATCTGAAGCCAAGAAACACCTGGGAGAGCTAGAATCAGTACAGGAAAGTTGGTATAGGATGTTTAGGGTTTTTTTTTTTTAATTGTTCAGGGCTGCAAGTTTGGGTGATTTTATATCTGTTCCCGTTCCAATCCTCTCTGTGTGTGTGTTTGCTCAGCCTATTTGCAGATAAAGGAGTGCTAGGTTTGGAATGTTGATCCCAACCTCATTAACTGGTTGCAGCTACACAGTATTCCCTTTGTTGCTTTTATTAAAATAAGCAACCTTTTCTCTTGATTACCCCAACATTGGTTTTGTAATTTAGCAAATTACTTGAACCTTTTAACTATGGTTAAAAGTGAAAGATGGGAGCCTCTCTTTTAAAAGCTAATTTCTAATTTCCTGCTGTGTCTCCTCAAGAATCCAGGTGAGTGGATGTCTCTACGTTCAAGAACAGATGGTGGCCATAGTACTTCCTAACTGGATGGAACTCATTCATCAGGGGGAATAACCATAGCTAAACTCTCTGGAACTCAGGTAGAGGTTAAAGGTGGAGATCCCAAAGATAGATCTGTTTCCTAGCAGCTGGTCAGCCTTCCTGTTGGATGGATTGCCCATCTATGCAGCCTATTTGGCCACATAAATGTAAGATTTTACTGCAATTGTTTTGTACACTGAGTAAGGTAAGACAAATTGTGGGACTGTCAGTACAGGGAGGCCCCGGGTTAAGAACATCCAAGTTACAGATGGCCCATAGTTAAGAACAGAGCCTATGGTAGCAAAATGTGAGTTAAATACACAATGATTTGAGTTAAATACACAATGGTTCGAGTTCATTACACAATACTACTTACACAGTATTATACAATAATACTGTTCTGGCTTACATACAAATTCAACTTAAGGACAGACCTTGGGAACGTAACTTGTCCTTAAACTGGAGACTACCTGTAAACAGAATCCAAAAACTATAGTGTATTTTCAAATACTGTTTTTTGCCTTAGAGACCTAAACCTAACCTGAACTCAGAGCATTTGAAGGGACATTCTCATATGAAGCCCCTAGATTATTTAAACAACTCTGAACCATAAAAGATGGCCAAATATTCTAAGGGAGCTATATCTTCTATAGTGGAAAGATGGGATAGGTCCAATGGAAAAACCCATTTCACCTGAAACAAAGTGTGGATTTGTTGGCTCTGGCATTGAGGAGAATCTAGGCAAGGAAGGAAACAGTAGGGAAGACACCAAGTCCTGCTGCTGGAAACAACTGACAAAGATATCCTTTCTCCTCCCCTCAAACTCAAGACAAATTCTTTTTGCTGAGACCATTTGGAAACTTAAATATAATCTTAATAATAAGATACATTAGTGCTCAGTAGTGAGAATACTAACTAAATGTTTGAAACCTCTCATAGAGAGCCTACAGTTTTCATGTATGCAACCTTTGGACACTGCACTGATAATATCCCATTTATGCTTTGGGGTGGTTGTCTGAGAAGGCTCTCCATCAGCGAATATGGGCCCAGGTTGCCTATTACAGTTGTGGGGAGATGATCCTCCTTATGTAGTTGAACTACAACTCCCAGCAGCCCCAGCTAGCATGGCCAACAGAGTTGGAATTCAGCAACACTTGGATCCTCATGCCTATTTTCTTTTTTATCTATATTTCATGTTATATGGAGCAGTTTGTGATTTCCACCTCTTTACAATAACATACCTTTGTATTCAGATCTCTTCTGTCATATTAAACAGATAAAGACTGAGAATCAGCAGTGCATTAGGGCAACTCATTATTGTAAGGTCATGGACAACATTGTGCACCACTAGGCCCCTAGTATGCAAAGCTAGGACTTCTGGCTGGTTTAGCACCTTGGGTTTTTTTGGGCTTTTTTTGTTTTGCTCTTTGTTATGCTGTGTGACAATTGAATGTATGCAAAGATTTCACTAAGACAAGGAAAACTCATATTTGATGTTGCCATCCAAGTACTATTCAAAGAAATAATGACAAACAATATGTTTCATAAACACCACTCATAATTGTTATGGTTGCATCATCCCAAGACATCTTGGAGACCACTATCTTGAGCTCCAATTGTAGGGAAACAAATACAGAGGATATGAGATTGAGGTCCTTCAATGTGGAATGGTCCATTTATCACAGTGCCAATACGATCAAACGATAGATAGATAGATAGATAGATAGATAGATAGATAGATAGATAGATAGATAGATATGGAATGTGGGTATGGAATCTGTAAAGTGATTATATTGTTAGGGAGACTGCACTCTTCCACAGATTATATTTTATGGTTTTAATGGTTTTACTGCTTTTATTGCTTTTTGTTGTTGTTTTATTATTATTTGTTGTACCGTTCTTTTAAAACTTTGTTTGCTGCCTAGAATCACATATGTGAGATGGGAGTCTATTTAAATTTACCAAATAAATACATACATACATACAGAAATATTTTAACATCTGTTGCAGGATCTCTGTGGCATATTTTGAAGTGTCCTTGGAGTAAACAACCGCCCACACGAATACAACACAAAACATAGCTTGAAATGTAGAAAATAACAATACAAAGAAATGTACATAGAAGTAAATAAAATCTGAGGGGAAAAAAATAAGGAAAAGTGCATATGCAACGAAAGGAGGTAGAAATTATGATGGCAGTTGGGCCGTCATATAATGCCAATGCTGATATTTTAAAATGAGCATGGACCCTAAATTTTTCAATATCAGTTGCAAAAATGATAGTAGCCAGTTCAGAAGTGATATTGGTTAGAAAGCACTTCCCTGGGAGGAAAAAGGGTAGGCAGCTTTCCAAAAAGCTGGTAGAACATTGAAGGTTCTGAGAAGTTGTGTGCATTCTCTCAAAATGCCTGCTGCGTGCTCATCAAAAGATGCTCTTTTTACCAGATGACAAATGTAGCAGATGGATACATTTCCAAACCAAACACTGGAATGCAGCTACTGCTCATTATTTTTATTTTCTAAGAATGTCTTTGGAATCTATAAGGGGCCCAGCGGTATTCTTAGGCTAACACAATGCTTTGCAGCATGGCCTTTCCCATTTAATGTGTTTTTAAATTAAAACAAAAACAACCCCCCACTCCCACCCCAAAGTAAGTAACATGGGGCAGGGAGCTCGGAAGGTGTCATGAGAGATGTCCTTGGTGCTCATAGGCGATGTATTGCTCCGCAACTGTGGAGAAGCTCCATAGATGGCACAGGAGTAAGTCAAACCCATTTACCATTTTTCTAGGCTAACCCATCTATGCTGAAATGACAGAATATCACTAATATCAATACAAGAAATCTTTCTTTCTTTGTTCCTACTCTGAGCTTTTTACTAGTTTCCTTTCTATTTCAGGTAGTTACAATGCCAACCCTATGCCTCTGCAGATCTCTCTTGTTCACTCAGTGAAATTAGTTGTTTGCTTTCTCTGTCCTCAATACTGGTGATGGAACAGAAATCAGTATTTTCTGGAGTGAAGACTCAGAGCCAGAAGGAGGAGAAAGCACAACTGGGCAAGCTGAGAAGAACCTGCTGACACCTAGTGATGGAGGTTGCTTACTGAGCAGTATTTTGGCATGCACTTGCTAATCCTCACCTTCATGTCTCCTCCCCAGGTAGATCAAGAAGATAAGTAGCTATGGAGTACAAGTTCTGTCTGTTTTTGCTGGGCTCTCCAAACTGATGCAGTTGATAATTCCTCCAATACTGCACGGTGCAAAATTGGAGCCAGCCATACCACTTTTCCCACAGCTGGCAGATGGCCAGTTTCCCTTCCAGAAACATCCTGCTGTTGTGTTCCATTGAAAAATTCTAAGTCTACCAAATGAAGCAATATGGATTTCACTCCTGAGTTGGTGCTCTGTTTTTGAATGTTGATGCCATATCCTGTATGAGATGCTGGCACGTCAACACCCCTTTATGTCACACGTAGCAGACATTTTTTAAATGAAACACTACTCGCAAAAGGTATTGGGTGGCACTCGATGTACACAAGCAACATCTTGTCTGAATCAGTATGAAACTAATTCTTCCAGGCTAGCCCAGCTGTTAGAAAGACTTTCGTAGCAGCTGATGACAGGAACTCAGTTTGGGCACAAATATTGTTGACATACAGGCAAGAAATCCTGATAATTCTTAAAGCCAAGCTAGCTTGGGGAAAGGCTAGGACCAAAATCAACACAAGGAACAATCAAAGTGTTTCATTCTGTAAGTGAAGACTGAATGTAGCATTCTATGAACCACGTCATTAAAAAAATGGGTCATAATCAGGTTTTATGATTAAATTTCAATTATATTTTATAAAAAATAATTAACTTTCACAGAAGTGAAGAGATACAAGTACACAATGGTGGACACAATGGTATAAATACAGATCATTGAGAAACTGCTTGCAAGAGATTAAAAACAGACTGTACAGCACCGCATTTGAAATTCTGTAATAGCCAATGGGATTTTTACTCTTTCTACCCTTAGAGAAATCCAATCCATAACTGATTAATTTTGGAACAGTGCTTTTAAAGATTCACACCCTTGCCCCAAAGAATTCTTCTGAATTTTCCCTTAGATGGTTGCCCAAATATATTTTAATGTTGAGCAATTTATTTATTTTTTTTAAAAATGATGATGGTAGAAAAAGACATTCATGCAGTTTTACACCACCATTAGTCTCTGATTCTAATATAAGGCAGATCATTAATTTTGTTTTTGTTAAAACAATGTCTTTACCCACTGAAATAAGCTTTTAGTGCTTTCCATGATAAAGTCATGGCAGGCCTTGCGTACTGTTCAGAAAGATACCTGTATTATGAACTAGGTCATTTTAAAAGAAAAACTTGGCCATATTTGGAATACATTATATTGTAGAAAAATCCTCCTCCATTAATTTTTACTGGGGAAACAAAATTTAAAAGAAACCCAGCAGGATGCTTGAGTTCGGCACAATGACACTGCTTTCTGGTGGCCAAAAAGTCATGTTGACACCTATGTGTCATCCTCTGTTTTAATAATGTGGAAAAGAGTGACGTTGAATAGGACTTGGTGTCCATTATTCCAGGCATACAGAGCTCTATCTCTGGCATTGTAGTCAAGCATTGATATATGGAAATACTGATTGTGAAAAGGTATGTCTGTATATTCATATGTGGAGGTTTTTGTCGAGTACGAATAGTACACCTTGGCTCCGGTTAAGTGAGAATTGGTGACGTACAAGGTGCCACAGATCATGAAGGACTCCCCAGCACTTCTCTTGGGGTACCCGGTGCTCCAGGTTTTCATCACTTCTAAAGTATCCTGATTCAGCTGACTGATGACAATGTTGCCTGCATTCTGATTAGTTGCGTAGACAGCCCACAAACCTATCTCATCGGCCATCAGATCGATATCTGAGAAGCCACCCCAGGTGTAGGGGTAGACATTATGAAAGCCGGCATACTCCAGGCTACGCTGAGCAAGCACCTGCCCAGTATCAAAACTGTACTTGATGATGATGTTGCTCTGATATTTGTTGAAATAAAGAGACCCATTGTAGACTACATGATTAGTTCCTGCCCATTTGAAAGGAAGATTGTATGTCCTGGATTCTGCACCACTGACAAAATCTGCTATGGATTTGTATTCACGGACAATTTTGTTGTTGGTGTAACTGTCCATATACCAGACCTGAAAGTGAGAAGAAAGAATGTGCTTTGAACTTTGGAAAATCAAATCAATACACTATTATAAATATTGTAATATTACTTATCTCCCCAACACCCGTAATTTGTCTTACTTCCAGTAGCAAAAGAAAGGTTACCAAGTCTTGTTCAAGGATGGATGCAAAAAAGAGTAGATTTGCCATTCCATAAATAAAACAATAATGTGTAAGGATTTTAATGCTACAACATCATCTAGACACCACTTCATTATCTTTACATTTATTCATTTTGCAGTAAGCCCTGCCCTCCTGTTTAAATAATATGAAAGTTATAAATTTCTCTGTTTTATGTAAACATACCAAGAAGATACCTTACACAAGAACAAGCCATTTAGCTATTCAGTAGAGATAACGGTAGGCACAGCACTATTGGTGTGAAATGGAAGAATCACTCCCTTCCATAGTGAAGTTGGGTGCTGAATGACAAAAGAAGAAGAACCAAAATGGGGCCCTGGGAAATATAAGGGAGGTCTCAAAAGTTTTGAAGGAGTTCTAAGATTTACAGCAGTAAAAAAATATATAAAGCGCTAAGGTAGTTCTTGCTGAAAAGGATGTAGTAAGGACTAAACATCGCCAGAAGTCAATAAATTGTCAGCTGGAACAGAAAAATGAAGAGCCAGGAAGGAGAAATGGACTGTGTGACTGAATTCATTATGTATCCTGGAGGAAGTCATGATTGGCTGTTCTACTGAACAGGAGCACTCCGATGAGAAGGTGAGAATATATTGCAACATTTTCTTGCAGGTCCTACTTTTGCATTCGATTAGAATCCATACTAAGCGAGTTAAAATAAGGAGCCACTCTCATCTGTCCTCCTCAATCAAGATTTCCATTCTCATTTTGCATGATGGTTATGGATGTGAAAACTGTACCCCATTTGCTAGACTTACAGATATTGAAAAGATTTATTTCTGTCTGGCAATCAAACTGTACTGGTAAGGAAAACTAGATTAGATGTACAAAGCATGCTTTGCATGTAGATGGTCCTAGTTCATCTCCAGTCAAATGGATCTCTGTAACTAGTGTTAGGAAATAGCTTTGCCTGAGCCTTTGGGGAATCATCGCTAGTCAGAATAAACTCTAAGTATAGCAGACATTAAAGTATAAGACAAGCTTATTTGCCTGTTTATTTAAAACATTTTCATACTGCCATTCATTCTATTTAGAATTTCAGTGCTCATAAATCAACTAAAAGAATTCCTGCATGGCTCCCAGCAAGAAAGAATATAAGCCACCCACTCTGTTATTTTTCTCAGATGCTAATGGATCTGTCATCCAAGCTCCAAACCGGGTTCCAGATGTCTTGACTGTAATAGGACCAGTGATTTTCATCAATTTGCCGCAGGCTGAAAAATAAAAGCAAATCATGACACATGCTGACTGCATCCATCTTTGTGGTAGAAGTAGGGATGGAGTAAGGAATCTGTGTGTGTGTGTGTGTGTGTGTGTGTGTGTGTGTGTGTGTGTAATTGACCCTCCACTTGCATTTTGTACCATTCAAAGCAACGAACAGTTTGCTAAGCTTCTTTAAGGAAACGAACTGTTTATTTGAACACAGAGGGGAAAGGCAGGCAAAATACTCCACACTGTAAAGAACATGTAGGTAACCTGTGGTCTCTGGATCACCCCTTCCATCCAATTAGAGTAAACTGCAAAAAATCAGAGAGGTGGTTAAGCAGGAAATATTCACAAAACTATAATGTAAACCCTACAAAAAGCTAGTTGTTTTTTTTTTATTAAGTCTCCCTTCACAAAGATCCAGGGAAAATACCTAAAACCCTCTGCTGCTCTGCCTCTACATGTTGTACAAAAGGGCACAGGGTGGGGGAGTTAAAAAGAGGGATACATATAAAAAGAGGAGAGCTTTGATCATGCAATTGAAGCTGCCATCTTGCATTTTTTGACTCCCCACTGCAGATGCCCTGGTCACATAATCCTGTCCCTTTGGGGTCATTGTCCTTCTCTCTCGGGCCTTTGCCTTTCCAGGGTTGAATTGAGCCGTCAGCCACAAAAAGCCATTCCTGCCTATTTTAAAGATATTTGCTCCTTCTGATTGTTTTAGGCAGCCTAATGCAAGTAAAATGCTGCTTTTTTCAGGGTGCCCATGGACTAATGAATCGCTAGGTATCTTGCTATACAAGGGCTGTTGGACCTTTACTATGACGCTGAAACTTGATAATGTAGTTTAATCATGTATAATGGCTTTACCTTGCTGATAAAAGGGGATCCTTACTTATACAGGATATACATATTTAAAGAAAGAAAAGAAAATGTAGCTCTATGCTCTTGTATGGCTTTACCACACCTGGGTGCATGGGTTCTCTAGTGGAAGACTTGTATAGCAATCTTTTTTTTTTTTTTTGGCATCTTCTTCTTTAATTAGACATTTTAAAGAAGATATATAAATAGACATAAAAGGACTCAGGAAAAAAAAAGAGAAAGAAAAAATACAAATGAATAAACAGGGAATTTCAAAATATTGAGATTATAGTTTTCAGGTATACCGTTAGTTAATTATGAATAACTGAATATATTATTTCATTTTAAAAGATTAAAAATTGCTATTAAGCTCTAAGATAAATATGAATATAAAGAGCCATTGGTCAACAACAGTATAAATCACCAAGTAAGATGATGTGCTACAGTAAATTCAATCCGTCTTATTAAAAGTCTGTTCTAATTTAGATATCCTGTAAAATTGAAATATGGACGCTATGCATACAGAAATGCAAATTTTGGATGAGGTACAAATCCATGAATTAAGTTGCAGTGGAGGAATGGTTTTCAGTTTTAACTGGATTCTATAGCAGGTTTACTTTCAAGACATGGTTGTTCTAAACACGGAAGCATATCCCACAACTTAGCCGTTCTCCTAATGAGGGGATCAAATAAACTTTCCAGTAAAAAGCATAGAATATCCTTGCAGCAGTTATCATATACAAAGCATATACAGTATCCATTATCCTCTGAGGGAATATATGGTTTTGTAAAGTTCAGTAAAAATATCACAGGTTGAAATGGGAATTAATCTTTTAAGATTTGTTTTATTTTAAAATTTTAAAATTGTTGGGCTTTACAACGTTGCCATCAATATGAAAGCTAATCTGACCTGCTCATTACATTTCCAGCAATTTTTGGACAATGAATTTTCCTATTTAGCGAAGAGACCTGGAGTAGAATACCAACAATAAAACACCTGATGCTAATTTTTTGTTAGTATAATATTCAGAGTAAATTTAATGTCTTTCTTCTACTGACTTTCCCACTGTTGCATATCTATTACAGGTAGTCCTTGACTTCTGACCATTCATTTAATAACCATTCAATACGATGGTGCTGAAAAAAGTGACGCATGACCGGTCCTTGCACTTATGACTGTTGCAGTGTCCCCAAGGTCATGTGATCAACATTTGGGCACTTGGCAACTGGCATGTATGTATGATGGTTGCAGTGTCCCGGGGCCACATGATCACCATTTGTGATCTTCCCAGGGAGCTTCCGACAAGCAAAGTCAATGGGGGAAGCCGTATTTGCTTAATGACCACGTGATTTGCTTAACTACCATGGCAAAAAAGGTCATAAAATTGGGCACAACTCACTTAATGACCACATTGCTTAGTGACAGAAGTTCCGGTCTCAATTGTGGTTGTAAGTCGAGACTACCTGTACTGCATCCCAATTCTGCAATTCCATTGTTCTGCAGTCTTAATGTCTGTCATTTGTAAGGGATCTATAGCCAAAGCAAGATGACCTCTAGGTCAATAGCTGTCCCTATCAGAAATACAGGCAAGCTAACGGATGGAGTAGAAAATGTAACACAAGCTTTCCAGTTGTAGAAGTCTTATAACAATAAGAATAAGAGCAGAATGCAGCATTAAAAATTGAATTGATTTCTACTGTCATTTGAGACCTCTCAAATTAACTACACTTCAGGGATCTGATTTTTGAATCCTCTTTTAAAGGAATGCGATGGTTCTTGTTAATCCTACTAATGTGTGACTACTGAGATGTGAAAAGGCCTTGTATGCTTGCAATGGATTGGCATGAGGTTGCCTGCTTTGGGCATTAAACAAGGCAATATTCCCCCATTCTGCTTCCATTCTTGCTTTTTCCTTACTTACTCCTTACACTTGACCAATTCCATTCAAACTAAATAAAACATCCAGATTAATAGGATTTACTTAGCAGTGAGAAATATAGACAATTAGGTTCAGATCAGGAACTCAGTTCTGACAATACTTAGACTACATTACAAATTGGATTTTTAAGAATTCCCATACATATTGAACAAATCTAAGGCTAATGTATTGACTGGAATTTGCTACCCACTAGTTTTTAACTCTTCTGCACGTTCTGGTCTCAAATTAATAACAATAACAATAATATGCATTTAGACATATATATTTAGATAAGACTGTTTAAAAGACATGATGTTTAAAATGCATTTAAACTATTTTTCAAATGAATATCTTGATACAGATGTATTGCTTTTAAATTGCAGATGGAAGTGAAATCAGGAGACAATGAACTCATGAACAAACATTTATAAATGTGGCATAGTCCTAAAACAGACTGATTTTTGATTCTTAGAGGCAAAGGTCTGCTCTCAGATATTGTGTTCTTGGTAGCTTGCTGCCCCTTTTTTTTTTAAACAAAGTACAGGTTGCAATTATTTTTCATTTGTTTATACCTCATATTTATTTATTTACAACTTATTTTATGAAAATGGTACTATCTCAGTCACAAGGCTTTCAAAATAATGTATTTATGTTTTTCTTTTTCTTTTGCAGAGAACATTCTTCCTAAAAAAAAGCCAAAATAAAACTTTACTTTGTTTTAACTGAGAGATAGCAAAGTGTTTATGGTGCTGGACTAGGCCAGGGACCCAGGTTCAAGTCTACCCTTAGCCATGGAAGTTCACTGGGTGACTTTGGGCTATTCACTAACTTCCAACTCAATCTAACCCCCCCAGGTTGTTGGACTGAGAATCAATTCAGAGGAGGTACTATATACATAACCTGCAGCTTCTAGGCAGAAGGTGGGATATAAACCAACCAATCAACCAAATAAATGTTACTGTGATTCTAATGAAAAAAATTAGGGCTAAGGAGTTTCTAGATGAGAAGGCAGAAGCTTCAGAAAAACTTTGGGGTAGTGAAGGAGAATATTTGCAACCCTCATGGCATGGGTCCAGGCTACCTGAGGGACCGTCTCACCCCTATTACATCAATCCATCCCACTCGGTCAGGCAGGGAAGGCATATTACAGACCCCATCAGCGAGAGAATGTCGGCTGGCAGGGCCCAACAGGAGAGCCTTCTCCGCTGTTGCCCCTGCCCTCTGGAATATCCCCCCCCCCCCAGAGGTGTGGAGGGCTCCTACCCTCCCAGCTTTCTGGAAAGAACTGAAGACCTGGCTCTGCCAGCTTGCATGGGGCAAGAAAAATTTTAACTAACTCTGGGGGTGGCTGGTGCCCTGATGATGCTCCCTGAGCCTAATACTCTCTAGTTACCATCAATCTTTGGAATATACTTATTATTTATTTAGGACTATTGTTATATTGTATTTTTAATTAATATTTATCTTTTCTGTAAACTGCTCAGAGTCGCTCTTTAATGAGATGGGTGGTGACAAATTTGATATATAAATAAATATAAATAAATAAATAAATAAAAATGCTGACAAAAATGTAAGGAATATAAATTAGTTTTAGTGTTCTAGTATAGAACTAAGTAGACCAGGATGGAGACAAACCAGGAGGTTTAATTTGATTGCACTGACCAAATTGTAGCTTCATTTCCTATACTTCAGTTACTGGTAATGAACATACTATATCAGATCAGCCATTTCCATTTACTTACAATGAGAGACATGCTCTAATAAGATGCCTTAAGACATTCCATTCATTGCCAGACCAAATGAATAGGGTGGCAATAACTTGGAACTAAATAGACCTTAAAGATTAAAAATGATACAGGCAGGAACCAAATATCACGGAATCTGTGCGTATCTTCTCCCTTTCCGGAAATGTGTAGTTCCACAAAATGAGTTCTGTGATGGGTTTGCTCTAAAAGTTTTCCTGCAAATGGCAGCCAGTGAAGCAGTGCAGGGACAGGCAAACCTTCAGCATGCTGGCCTTATATCCGTGCCCTTTGAGGTACCAAATGAAGTGGGGGTAGACAGAAGAAGAGACCAGAGTGAGCTATTAACGTTGGCATTAACTCCATTCCCAGAGTGCTTAGTTTCAGCTATAGATTCTGAGGAGTTAATTAAGAGGACAAATTGAATAACATAACATGTGAGCTCTAAGTGAAGGTTCGGGAATGACTGGGACGACCACAGAATAA